AGCTGCAGGACCCTTATCTACTATTTGGATAGTGGACATATATCCTAGTCCACCATGATGAAGCCCATGGCCCAAACGTCCACACCAGGGTCTCTGCCTCCTAGCACCTTCTAGTCCCTCCTAAACCTTCTGGGTTATATAGGTCACCTCAGACAATAGCCGGTGCTTCTTCTCATTCTCCCTTGTGAGGAGTCAAGCCGGCTCCCTTTCCCGGCAATAAACCTTTCTTTGTTCTCTGTACCTGGATATCTGTGTGGTTCTCTGGCAAAGTCTATTAATCTTTCATTTATTTTTTCAAGCCCCATGACCTACCACAGAGAAAAAGAAAGAGAGAGAGAGAGTAGTAACAGTAGTATGAGATCTAAGAATTACCCCCCAAAAAACATTGACTTATAAGTTACTGGCTAACATGATAGGAAGCCTGAAAAGTGCTATGACCTGTTACCTACAAACTGGAGGAACTATTTTTCTCTCGCTGCTCTGTAGGAATACAACATGAGTCTCACTGGGCTAACATCCGGACATCAGTGGGCCGTGTTCTTTTCTGGAGGCTAGGGAGAATCTGCTTCTATGCTTAGTCAGGCTGGTGCCTTAATTCAGTTCCATGCAGGGGCAGAAATTCATTCCCTGCTGGCTGTGAGGTCAGGGACATTGCCTCATTCTAGAGGTTGCCCATATTCTTTGGCTTTGGGCTGCTTGCTGCTTGCCTCTCTTTACTGTTTTTCTGACTTTTGTGCATTCTAACATTTTCATCTCTTCAAGATCGCTAATATTAATCACATCTACACAGTCCCCTTTGTTATGCATTGTGCTATATTCACATATTCTGGGCATGCAGATGTGAACATCTTTTGAGAACTATTATTCTGTCTGCCACTCTGGAAAACTGAGGTCAGTCCATGTTTTCATGGACCCACAGGCATGCCAGGAGGAAAGAGAACGTTGAAAATGTCCCCTGTCTTCTTCTCGGGTCCTTTCTTCTACTTCATTACTGGACTTTCCTTCCCAGAATAAGTGAGGTTAAATTAGCAGGGAAATGAACTATTTAGAAATGATTTCCTGAACCCCAACATGAATCTAATAAGGGAACAAATGATTTGTTTCTGCCTGTTCTTGCACTATTTTAAGTTTGGGGCAAATATATAGACAAGGAAAGAGTAAGGACTAAGGTGGGAGCAAAAATTGAAAGCCATTAAAGAATAAAAAAGCAGTATTATCTCCCTTTTCCGTTAGAATTTAATCCAATAAGTTTCCATACTCAAGGTGGGATGGGTAAACAAGAGGAAGAGCCTAGCTCTTTGGGGGAATTTTCTGGATGTCATTATGCAGCATACACCATTCTAGATGACACCACAAACTTTCCTTAATGCTTTAATCTGTACAGTAAATGTGTATAGGTATGACCTATATAAATGAGGAAACCGAAGCTCTGAATGGTGGTATTTTCCTACAAGCCCAGATGCAAGCCCAGCTCTGCTGGTTTCCCCAGCCCAAGGGAATTTCCTCACTGTCTATCAAGAAGGCAAGACTAAGACTTGTTATAACCCCCACACTGTAGCCTTCAGTATCAAAAGACAGTCCTTGATATTGTTGTCTTCCATGTCCAGCCTTTCTTCCGAAATGTTATGATAAGCTCCCAATACAGGTCTGAAGTTACTTTATCTTCTTTTGGTTAAGTCACATTTCCTTCTGTTGCCCCAAGTTAATGTTCTTATAATTCAGGCTGCTTCTTTTGCATAATGATTACTGGGCTGTATGACTAAATTTTCTTTTATTTCCTTTAACTTTTATCCCAAACAGCTTGGAATTATGCCTAAGATATTAAAAACGCTAAGTAATTTATTCAACTAGTTGAGATGAGACTTTTTTCTTTTCCTTGTGTTTTCTTTAAAAAAAACAAAAGTGCAATATCATTATTTCTGATGAATAAGTAGAATTCCATTCTTCCCTCCCCCCTCTCTCTGTCTCTGTCTCTCTCTGTCTCTCTCTGTCTCTCTCTCTCTCTACACACACACACACACACACACACCATGTTTTCTTGATCTGCTTGTCCACTTGATTGATTCCATATCTTGACTATGGTAAACAATACTGCAACAATCATGATTGTACTGGTAGCTTTAGTGTGGCCTTATTTATGTTCTATTGGATACATGCCTAGGATGGAATTGCTGGGTCATAAGGGAGCTCTATTGTACTATTCATAAGGAAATAGACTTGGAAAAAATTATGTTAAGTTAAGTAAGTCAGACACAGAAAAACATAAGTTGCATGGTTTCCCTCATTTGTGGTAGCTAGAATGTGGCTATAAATCTGCAAGTAAACACACTGTATAATTTTAAAAAATACACTGGTACATGATAAACTATATAGGTCTCTAGGCATTCACACAGTGGGACTAAAGGAGGATATTTTTAGGAGAGGAGCACAAAACACAATAACTATGTGCATCTGATCATATAAAATAATGTTTATCTAAATGAACTCCAGGAAATGGAAACAATAGGTTTTTTTCTTTGTTGCTTTAATTTTCTTTTCTTTATCTTGGTATTGTTTATTCCTTCATCTGTCTTTGGGAAGGTAAGAGGGGACACAGAGATGAAGGGACAAAAGTGAACAAATGCATCAGTGATACTCACTGGACACTGTTGAAAATGAACTATACAACCTGTGGGTGGAGATGAGAGGTAAAAACTAGGAGAGAACAAGAGAAGGGGTGACAAATGTACTAAAAAAACAAATGTACTCTTTATCTGACTTATATAACTTTAACCCCTCTGTACATCACCTTTTAATAACAATAAAATGCATGAAAAAATAAAAAAGAAGCAAAGGTGCTGAAGCTAGTCTTTGGATAAGTCTCTCATAGAACTTATAGGAGCTAGGAGATCCCATTGTTAACCATACACTTACCAGGAAGAAAAAAAAATAACAACTTCTGCTTATCTCTATGGTGATAATTAATTCTAAAATTTCAGCATAAAACTCCAATTTCTTCCACAGTTCTGAACCTTATATGACTTGCCTGTCTCATACATTGCATCATGTCACTTCATTGCTTGCTCTATGCCAGCTACTTACATGACCACAGCTTGCTGTTTCCAGATCATTTTCTCCCTTTTTTCTGGTCCATTACCAGAGCCTTACACTCTTGTTCATAGAGCTATTTTGCTAACTAATTAGAGATAGAATCTTGCAGATTTTTCTGCCACGGGTTGGCTTTGAACTGTGATACTCAAATCTCAGCTTCCAAATGTCTAGGATTAAAAACGTGAGCCACTGGGACCAGGTTTTGACTCCAGATCTTTCGTGACCACCCAAACACACTTTACTCAAAGTTTACCTCCAGACTTTCCATTACTAGCCCTGGCAGCTACTGAAAATTTGAAACATGCCTTGTGTGAACTAAAACGTGCCCGGAGTCTAAAATATGCACACCATTTTTAAGAGCTAGCAGGAATTCAAAGATGTAAAACAACTTACTAATAAATTTATATTGATCACCTGTTTAGATACTATGTAAAAGAAGTTGTGGTATTATTAAAAACCACTACAACCTGTTTGTATGTTTTTATGAATGTGGTGGCTAATTTGAGTGTTCAAATATAATCCTGGTCCTCGCTCTACTTTTATTGGACGGTTGCTTATAGCTAAGATCAAGTGTTAATATTTCTATCATACAACGCTGCTCTATCACTTCGTACCCTTTTGCATCCTTCTCTGCCCACCAACACTATGGAGGGACAGAATGCATGCTTTCTGGTGGATGTCAGGCACTGCTCACGGTGCAAGACGGATTCCTGGCCATGTAGGACCGAGCCTGAAATAGTGCAAGTGTTCTTGTTTGTTGATAATGGAGCTGGGGTTAATACCCAGGGTCTCCAATGTACTGGATAAGCACCCTACTGCTGCACTATACTGACTCTGTGTGTGTGTGCGCGCGCACCTGTGTGTGTGCACCTGTGTGTGTGTGCGCGCGTACCTGTGTGTGTGGACCTGTGTGTGTGCGCGCCTGAACTCCAGGCCTGGGCTCTCTCCCTGAACGCTTTCATTCAATGCTAGTGCTCTACCCCTTGAGCCACAGCTCCACTTCCGGCCACAGCTCCACTTCCGGCTTTGTTAGTAAATTGGAGTCTTCCAGCATGTTCTTGCCGGGGCTGGCTTGGAACCATAATCCTCCTGTCTCAGCCTCCGCCAGCTCTTGATTTGTAATTGTCTATTTTTGTTTTCTGTGTGGTCATCATTAATCATTATCATAGATAATGAATGACCTGGCGCTCCGTGGACCGGGGACGGTGAGCGGCCGCCGCGCGTCGTCGAGTCTGAGGCCTCTGGGCCGCCCCGGCCGCGCAGCACTGCCTACGCGCATGCGCTCTGGGCCCCGGGCCACACGTCGGCACACTTTTCGTGTCAAAAGAATGGGCTCCCGCGGACGTCCAGAGGGCCCGCGCGTGCGCCGAGGTCCTCAGTCTGGAAAACCCCGCGGCGCGCTTTTCCCCTCCGGCCGCACGGCGCAGTCGAGAGCGCGGCTGCAGATGGTACGGTCCGCTTCCACACATTCCTCCCCCCGCGCCCGGCGGCAGTGGGTCCTTCCGGCCGTAGAAAAGCATTGTGGGAAGGCGGCGCGGCCTTTCTTTCCTTCCGCGGAGGCCATGGCGGCCGGCGCGCTGCGAGTGATGTGCGCCGCGGGGCCTTCCATACCGGGGCGCGGGCCGGACAGGCGCTCCCTCCCGGAGCCTAGCTGGGCGCTCCAGACCCCGGGCGCGGACGCCAGCGGCCTAACGCGGTCTCTTTCTCCAGGAAAATCCCTGAGGGACCCGAGGCGGCCTGCGGCCTGTTCCGACGCTTGCTTTTTCGTGGATGGCTGACGGCTCTCGCCCCGGGGCGGCCCGGGGAACCAGCGCGGACGAGCGCCCGCCAGCCCCACGCCCCGCGGTGGAGTGCGAGCTCGGAGGGGCTGGGTACCGTTGAAGACGCCGGACGTGGCGGAGGGTGAGCAGACCAGGCTGGGTGCTGGAGCCCGTCCGGGGCGGCTCTTCCTCGTAGCCTTTGTGTTGCCCGTTCACTTTTGGAAACTAGTGAATGTGGTGTCAAAAAAGGCGCACATAAACGCTCTGCAGCCTTTTCCTGCCCTTAAATTCTGATATCTTCGGTGTTGGAGCTGCATCAAGCAACAGTACGTGCTTTTGTGTGCGTCTGTACGCGCAGGTCATCTTTGAGGTGGGCCAGCTCAGGTGTGTGGTTTCCCTTAACCAATTTGAACTATAATTCTCTTCAGGTGAAAGATGAAGTGCTTGGGGCGGATTGCTCTAGTTTGGATACCACGTGGGACTCAAAGGTGACTTCGGGTCAGGTGAGTGGCGGGATTGTAACTTGGAAGTTGGGGTAACGTACATTCAGTACACCTGTACCAAAGTTAGGAAATACAATGGCCTTGAAGGAGAATACACTTAGTAGGGGCCTTCACGATGTTTAGTTTCGTTGCTGGTGGCTAAATGTAAAGGGCAGCTAGTGATGTGTGCTGGTATTCAGAGCTAAATACAATAATGGTGTGACATCTTTCAGTACAAAAACCTTGTGCTAACTTCTTGTCAGGTTCTTTTTTTTTTTTTTTTTTTCTTTTTTGGTACTGGGGATCAAACCCAGGACGTTGCGCTTGCTAGGCAAGCGCTTTGCCACTGAGCTACATCCCAGCCCAGGTTGTCAGGTTCTTAAGATGTGACACAGATAAATGTTTTTCAAGCTGTTCTTTTTTATTTCTAGGATGTCCTTGATGCTTTTGAGCTTCACAAGTTGCTTGGATCGCAAAAGTTCCACGACTCTTGAGTAGTGAATGCCTGGCAAACATGCGGGAACATACATTTAAGAGAATATGAATAAATGTTTTAATATTTGAGATTTGTGTTTTAAGTCATTAACTGCAATAAAACAACCTTCTGTTACTGAAAGTTCAAAGGGAATGTTTTTACTAACAGATCTCTGAAATCTCAACAGCTAAAGTTAGTCAGGAATACGGATGGCTTTAGGATAGCTCTTGGCAAGGTTTTCTTGCATGTAATTCAAATAGCCTGCTCTTGACTCAAAGGTGTGTGTTTTACTGTACTCACTGTGGAGGAGGTTGTATGTGCACTCAGAGTTGGCTTTTTTCCTTTTTTTGCACCAGTCCTAGGGCTTGGGTGCTGTTCCTAAGGCTCAAAGGCTATTACACTACCACTGAAGCCACAGCTATTTAGTTAACTGGAGATTAGACTCTCACTGGCTTTCTTGCCCTGCCTAGTTGGTCTGAACCACAACCCTCAGATCTCATCCTCTTGAGAAGCTAGGAACCGCCATTGTCAGGAGCCTATCTAATAGGAATGAACAAATAGCATGTTCAGGCATTCTGAAATTTTTATTGAAAGCACTGTACTATGAGCTGGAAACAAGATGTAAAACAGTTCCTCTGGAAGGAAACAGCTGATAAGGGAATATCTTCACAAAATATTGTTTGTGAGATGAATCCTGTGATGCCATTTGACAAGTCAAAAGCATGAGCTAGTCAGAGTGGGACTGGAAGTATGATGGTAAGTCAAGCTTCTCTGATTGCTTCGGTTGTTTTTCCCTCTTGCCTTGTTAAGATGGCTCTTGGAGCTGGAGATGGTGAGGTTGAAGAGGTAGGTAGAAAAGACCAGACCATTTCAGGTTTGGACTTTATTAAAGCAAGAAATAAAATCTGGTGGAAAACAGTCCAGAGCAGATAGCAGATTACCGTCTAGATTAGACCAGTTAAACAAGGGTATTTAACCCGTCACAAGCTTAGTGGGCCCAATTATAGCTGTTGGGCAGCATTTTCTTGTGATAGAACCTGCTCTGAAATGAGAAACCATAAGGTCACAAATATAAACAAAACCCTGGGGTAGAGAGTTCCTAGGTAGGTCTGAGTTTGAACTGGATGAGCTATAAAAGGTGGCCAGAACAGAAATGAAATGTTAGGACCTAAAGATTCTTGGACTGGTGAATACAGTGGAGGGTCCGCATTAGAGATGTTAAGGATACTGAAGGTCAATTGCCTCAGAAATTTAGATGACAATGGAAAAGTTGTAGCCGGAGGGAATTACTGTATTCCATGTATGACAAAGAGGGCTGAGGCAGGAATATGGGTGAGAAAGCCCTGGAGCACAGGTTAGGACAGCTGTGGAGGACTGCAGCCAGAAAAGATGCTCTGTGGGTCTACTGTGGTCATGTGGAGATCCAGTTAAAAGAATGGAAAGACAACTTGCATTGACACATAGCTTCCCTCTCCTACTCAGTAAACACAAGACAAAGACACTAAAAAGTAACACTGAAAAACAAGATTCTTACACACAAAATAGAACAGGGAGCTTCATGTGAATAATAACAGTCCAAAAGTTAATGCCTCTGTGTGGAGCACTAGTTTTAAACTACCTGGAGCTGGGGAGATCACTTTCTGCCCACTTGGCATTCTATTGCCAAGAGCAAAAGCCAGCTGCAGGTCAGGAGTCCTGGAGGCTGATTAATAGAAGCATCTGGTGGTGCTTGTAGGCAGATAATAGATGGCTGGTATCCAGTTTCAGAAAGGAAGAGGCAACATCAAGTTTACAAGACTGTCCTTCCAGTTATAATGCAAAGATCATTCAACTCAAGTATGATGTAAATCTTTAAAAGAAGTAAAGGATGCTTTTTGTACTCAGGAGACACAGGTCCAAAATACTTGCTTAATTACCTAATTCACAGTTTCAAAAGTACCAGTGATAACACCCCTCCCAACCCATTGCTGGCTCTTCACTAAGTTCAAGTGTCTATCTTGAGACGGGCAGCTTGAATAGTTTTCACTGTTTTTGCTGTGTGCTTTCCAACCAGATTGCTTGTAGATAACTGAGATTTTTCTTCAATCAGGCTGTCTTTAGACCCATTTCTTTTCTGAAAGAAAATATTTTTAAAAGTCAGAAGAAGAAAATGCAGCCAAAGCAAGCTTTTAAAAAAGATACATCAGAAGCCAGTGTAGGATCCCACATTGAGAGAGAGGCTGATTAAAGTCAAACACTGTCTCAAATCAGAAATTATTACACTTTAAATTTTTTATGGTACTAAACTAGATATTCAAAGTTAATGCATGCCGAGCACAAATGGCACATGCTGGGCACAAGTGGCTCATGCCTGTAATCTACTCAGGAGGTTAAATCTGAGGATTATGTTTTGAAGCCAGCCTGGGCAGTAAAGCCCCTGACATTTTTCCCTCCAATAAACTAAAAAAAAGCCAGAAGTGGAGCTGTGGTTCAAGTAGTAGAGCAGTAGCATTGAGCAAAAAAGCTCAAGGACATCACCCTGGCCAAGTTAAAACCCCAGGATTGGCATGCACATACACCAGAGCTGCAGTCTGTTCACTAAATATTCCCTCTAAATAGTTATATAAATAACAAAGACGGGTTTAATCTTAAAGTCAATCTAATACGCATAATTAGAATTCCCTAAAACTAAGGCATAATTCAAGCAAATACACAAATATTTGGTAATTCCTAAACCAGGATCTCAGTCTACTTTTCTGAGCAGAATAGGATTAAGATCTAAAGATTCAAGGTTTGAAGCCTGCCCAGACTTTTGTCTCCACTTAACTACCAAAAAGCAGAAAGTGGCTCAAGTGGTAGAGTGCCAGGTTTGTGCAAAAAGCTCAGGGACAATGCTCAGGTCCTGAGTTCAAGCCCCAGAACTGGCACATATACACAAACACAAGATCTATTTGAGCTAAACACAAATCACCCTTTAAGAAGTCACTTCCCTGTGTTTTTAGGAGTGGTTTGTCTCTGCTGAAGCAAAGCATTGCCTATTTAATAAAAATTCCAGAAGCATGGTAAATCCAGATCTATATTAAAGGAAAGGTTTCTAAATGGACAGGTTTTGTGAGCAAAGGATGATGGTGTGCATTAGAGAGGAAAGGGATTTTATTAGAAGGCCTTCCAGTAGAAAAACTAGAAAGTGACTTAAAACTGCTTTTCAAGTTGGTCTGGGACTCCTTGTCCGCAGACATTAAATAAGCCAGTGAGTCAAGTCTCCAATCCATCCTCTTCCTGCCTGCCTCTTGCATGAAAATGTGCTCTGAAGTATTTTGCAGATTACTGCCTGAACTCTGTACCAAAGTTGGAACTTGGGAGATGCAAATTTCCTGTTCCACTGGTCACGCCAGCCCCCTTCCCAGGTGGCAGCCAAATAAATGGCTTACTTTGTGGTACACAGAACAAAAAGTAAAATCTAAACACTTATCTCCTGGACTCAAGGCCCTCCCCTCCTCACTTTGTGTGCTCAGGTCACTCTGGTCTTTTGACTCTTCATAGCATCAGCTCCTCCCAGGCTCTTACCTTTGCTTACATCAGCCTTCTACCTAGTAACCTGTCAAGTCTCAGTGTTAACTGCCACATTCTGAAGTGGCTTCTGACCACCTACTTAAGTGAGGTTACCTTGTTGATTCTCTTAACTTAGATCTCTATCATTTCAAAATACCTACATGATTTTTCTTTTGTCTGTTTATATGTATATGCTAGAGTTAGCAAGTATTTTTTGTAAAGGGTCAGAATGTGGACTATGTTCTGTCCCTATCAAATACTAATTATTTAAGAACAAGAAACCTTGTTATTAGTGCCTGTACCAGAACAGGCGGTGGGCTGATCTGGTGATGAGCTGTGATTTACTGACTGCTTGGGCCAGTGCTTATTACCACTTATTGCAAATGTTCAGTGCGTAGGTAGCTGTTTAATTTGAAAGCAGGTTTAGGATCACCACAGGCAAGATGTACCTGACTTACATACAGCAAAATGAGAGCTATTATGTATAATTTGCCATTTTTGAAGTTCCTCAGTGATGCTGATAAATCATACAGATTGTCATAGAAGCTGTGTTTGTTGCTCAGATTTCCATTCCAGGCTGAGGCTATTGGGAGTCCTGGCTTGCTGTACAGCTCAAATTTGAGACCCTCTGGAACTACCCTAGGCTGAAGAGAGCCTCCCCACCCAATACCATGAGTCTTCCAAGAACAGCCCTCACCCACAACACTCAACCTCCTCAGCCCAAGACTGGATGACTGAAGCTCCAGAGCTTCCCACAGGATCTCCACTGCAGCTATAGGACTGAGCTACACAGTTCAGCTTGTGCCTCTGCCCAAACCTCTCTCCTTTCACTTCCCAACACGTACCACAGGGTACTTTCCGATAAACTTCTGGCACATGAATCTCCATCTGCTGATCTGTTTCTAAGGAAACATAAGGTTTTGTTTTGTTTTTTTTTTTGTCCTTTAATCAAGTCATTGATTAAAAAAAAAAAGGAACAGGACAAATGAAAGATAGCATATGATGGATAACAGCTTTGTAAGTTAGCCTATGAACTCCCAAGTTTTTAAAATGCATAGGCTTACACACATTTTTATGGAGTGAGATTCTCTACAGGATTCTTGATCCAGTGAAAACTGCAGAACAATAGGCTGACACAAATCAATCATAAATGTCAACTTTGCATTTGTAGTAGTTAACAAGCCTATAAGTCCATCCAATTGTCAGCCCATCCTATTAAATATCTGCTGTGAGGATGATGTCAAATAGTGCAAAAAGGCAAAGTTCTCTGATACCTAATTCAGGAGAGGGTTAAATTATGTTAAGGCAGCTAGTTTCCTTTAACCACATTTGTGACAAATTTCACGGATGTAGGTACCTCCTTTTGAAAGGAAAGACAGAACTAAATTAGGATTTGAGTAATTGTTTTGTCTGCCATAGTTAACAATAACATTTGTCCCCACTTTGACTTTGTTTCTCTGGCTTGAAAAATACCTAAAACGCCTTTTTTTAAGTAGGGAAGCTAGGCACCAGTGGTCCTTATTCTTACCTATATTCCTAGATACTCAGAAGGCTGAGATCTGAGGGTCATGGTTGAAAGCTAGCCTGGGCAGAAAAGTCTTTAAGATTCTTATCTACAACTAACCATCAAAAAGTTGGGAGCAGAGCTGTGGCTTAAGTGTTAATTGCTTGCCTAACAAGTCCAAGGCCCTGAGTTCAAATCCCAGTGCCTCCAAGAAAGAGCAAGAATCTCAGAATGTACTTAATGATTATCTTACCTACCAAAAGGAATTCTCCAAAGCACAAAAAGCTTCTGAAATTTGTCAACAGTAGTACACCTTCTAAACTTCATTATTACTAACCTGATGAACAGTAGAGCCACCAGAACCCTGAGCATCTGAAGAACGGGTCACAGGAAGAGGTGGTACCAAATCTGTCTTTGAACTGCAAGAGAGTTTTAAAATTAATGAAGAGCCTAGGCATAGTGGCTCATGCCTGCCTTCCCAGCTCTTTGGGAAGTAGAAACTGGGAGAATCAAGGTCCAAGGCCAGCACCAAGAGGGGAAACTTTCCCAAGACCCTATCTAAAAAGTAACTACAACAACAACAAAAAGACTGGAGGTTAGACTCAAATGGTTTTGAGTGCTTGCCTTGCAAGTGTGAGGTCCTGAATTCAAACTCCAGTAAACACCACCCTTCACCCCCCACCACACATACACACCACAAAATACAATAGGTTAGTAGCTAGACTCAGAACTTAAGTGAAAGAGGGCTGTTTCCCTCATTGGCAAAGGCTGTTTTGGAACCACATGCCAATGTCCTCAGACCTGCCCACTTACTTCACTTCTGAGAGAACTGATCGCTCTCCATCTGAACACTGGGACCTTCGATATTGGCGGTAACTTCGTGGTGAATGAGAATGCCTGATTCGGACTGGGTCACCCTGAGTCCTGAATGACAAAAAGAAGAAAGAATGGGCAGGGAGGAGGGAGGGAGGGAGGAAGGAAGGAAGGAAGGAAGGAAGGAAGGAAGGAAGGAAGGAAGGAAGGAAGGAAGGAAGGAAGGAAGGAAGGAAAAAGCAAGAAGGAAGGAGAGAGAGAGAAAGACAGAGAAGAAAGCAAACAATCCATAAAAATAATTAGAACAGGATAATTTGATTCTTCCTGAATACTAAAACTGCAAAAATGGCTTTAAGGCTGGTTTTTAAAAGAACTTGCTTCTTACAGGCCTGATAGCCTTTAGTGACTTAAACTTCATGATCTGTTCATAATAATAATAAAAATGAAACACTCCCTCAGCCATCCACGAAACAAGAACTGTTTATAGAGTATTTGCATGTACAGGTGGATATTTGTTTAACCACCAATTTAAATTCAACCTTACAGTTGAATTCTCTCCAGGAGTATGGAAGATACAATGTAGTCAAAATAGCATCTCATGCCTATCAGAAAGCATTCATCATACTCCTGTCTGCTAATTAGTCTATCATTAAGAATTCAATCTTGCCTGGCTCTGGTGGCTCACACTTGTAATGCTAACTACTTAGACGGCTGAGATCCTGAGAACTGAGGTTCAAAGCCAGCTTACAATGAAAAGTCCGTGAGACTCGGATCTTAACCAGTACCACCAAAATAAACAAATAAATGAATAATAAGTCTTTACTTGCTAGATCTTAAATGTTCTAACCACAAAAAGTGAAATGTATGGTGACAGATATGTTAATCAGCTTGATTTAATGATTTCACATTGTAAACATACTAAATCATTACATTATAAACAAACTACATGGTACTTTAATCAATTATGCCTTTGATTTTTAAAACTTCCATCTTTGTGTCCTATAAGGGTGGTAGGGAGAGGCTAGGATTTATCAACCTGAATTTTCTGAGTATGAAAGAAGCACGGGTTGCCTAAGGGAAAGCAATCAATGGAGTGGGCACAAACTTCTGACCAATCCCAGCAAGGCAGCACATACAATGAACAGGGCAGCCACCTGACGGGGACCGGGAACCATATTCCAATGCTTGTGAAGCCTGTTCAACTCCACGTGCTAGTTCTACAACAAATGTTTTGTGCTTTAAGGCACATATGTGCATAGGACTTGAACTTGAGCCTGTGCACTGTCCCTGAGCTATTTTTGTTCAAGGATAGTGCTCTATCACTTGAGCCATACCTCTACTTCCAGCTGTTTGGGTGATTAATTAAAGATAGTCTCATGGACCTTCCTGCCCAGGCTGGCTTTGAACTGCAGTCCTTAGATCTCAGCCTCCTGAGTAACTAGAATTACAGATGTGAACCACCAGCACCTGCTTCCATATTCACTTTTCATTTCTGTTAAAATATACAAATGAAAGCACTACAAAGAGCACAACTGAAATGCAAGAAGGAATTTCTCCCCTAGCATTAATAAAACATTAACAAAAAGATTTTCAATGACATACTCACTCTATTTTAGTGTAAGGAATCTCTTTTAATTGCTCTTCTGACAATCCAGATGGATCTACCAATTCCTTTCTAGAAGGAAATAATCATGAGAGAAAACATTGCAATGTCAATATATATATATATATATATATATATATATATATACACTGATATCTTTCAGTGTATGTATCTTTTCCTTTATAATCTTGTTCCAAAATGCATTAGTGAAACTAACATATATATATATAGCAGGGGGTATGAATGAAAAAATGTGTTTAAAGAAAAATGGAAAGAAACCCTTCTGGTAGCTCTTATGCTTCTTTTTTTGGCTTTTCTACATGTACACTTCTGCCATCCCCTGCCTGTTTCCCTTGTGGTAGAAGTCTCTTTTCTTCTGGATTTGTTTTCTTTTGTATGTATTTATAAACTATTGGAATATCTGAGGTCCACTTATGGATGAGGTAAGTGACCTCAAATAGGAGCTATCTGGAACTGTTTCCCTGGCTGCTGCCCTACCCTGGGCTTGGACAGCATATAGTGAGTAGCCAGCTGGCAGGCTGTGGACCAAAGCTGCCTCTCAGTGGCTCTTCTTGGTATTGCACTGTACTACAATGATGTAAAGACCCCAATACTCACTGAATATGTTTCCATAACTCCTCTTTTGCTTGGACATCAGGGCTTCTCCTGTAGATAAAGAAAGCAACACTCATCTCTGCAACTCTGTTTCATTTATAATCTAAAGACTTTATAACCTACAGACTTAAAGATCTTATTTGCCATCTGAGAACAGAAAAGGAAGGATAGGCCAGGAAAATTATTTTTGATAATCATCAAGTAAATTTTTGACTGGGGGCCACTGAAGAAAAATCACGTTTCATTGGAAACATCACCTTGACAACCTCATCCAGATATCAGTAGTTTGCAATAAAAATAATAAGACATCACCACAAGAGGGAGCCCAAGCCCACTCATTGAAACTTGCAAAGCTATTGTTTGAGCTCCAATGCCTCCAAAGCCTCAGTTTGAGCTCCAGTGCCTCAGTGAATAAAATACCTTTCATGGATTCTTGGGGGGAAAAAAAAAAGAGCAAAAAAGAGTTTCCTTCGGTGATGCTAACATTTCCCCTAACAATTGTAAACCTTGTGGTTCTAAACCTGAAAACTGGACCAGATAATACTACAACTTCCTACTGTTTTCCCAGACAAGATCCAATCTGTTGCTGATGAATGCTTTATAAGATAGGAGGCTTTGTATTTCATACACTATGTCTCTGGTACTTAATAATGAATTGAATTTTCTAGCTTTTCATTTGGGATACAAAAAAACCATAATGAATGAATAACTATAGATCATCACATTTTGAGCTTCAGGAATTCTGTAAGAGAGATTTATACACAGTGAAGCAGGAAATTAAGAACATGGGAGGAATTGAGAGATCCATAGCTAGCTCACTGTATTATCTGAAATGCCAAATAGACACATGCAGAAAATGTTATATACAATATACATAATATATATATTATATTGATATATTTTTCTGCAAAGAACAATTTTTCAGTTACTTTCCTCAGATATTTCTCCTTTTCCTCCCTGAGGCTTGAACTCAGGGTCTGGGCACTGTCCCTGAGCTTCTTTTTGCTCAAGGCTAGCACTCTATCACATGAGCCACAGAGACACTTCTGGCTTTTTTCAGAGTATTTTATTGGAGATAAGAGTCTCACAGACTTTGCTGCCTGGGCTGGCTTTGAACCATGATCCTCTGATCTCAGCCTCCTGAGTAGCTAGGATTACAAGCATGAGACACTGGCACCCAGCCTAGAGAATTTCTTTTTTTTTTTTTTTTTGGGTCCGGTCGTGGGGCCTGAACTCTGGGCCTGGGCACTATCCTTCAGCTCTTCAGCTCAAGGCTAGCACTCTACCACCTGAGCCACAGCGCCACTTCAGGCTTTTTTTCTTTTTGCTTATGTGGTGCTGAGGAATCAAACCCAGGGCCTCAGGCATGCAAGGCAAGTGCTCTACCACTGAGCCACCTTCCCAGC